GAGAGAGAGAGGGAGAGGGAGAGAGAGGGAGAGAGATGGGGGGGAGAGGGAGAGAGGTTGATTTATTTTAAGGAATTGGCTTATGCAGTTGTGGTGATTGTGGGTTGATGAGTTCAGCGGGCTGGAGACAGGGAGGAGCTGATATTGAGGCTTGAACCCAGAGGCGGTCTGGAGGAGAATTCCTTCTTCCTGGGGACCTCAGTCTTTTCTCTTAAGGGCTTCAACTGATTCAACGAGATCCACTCACATTATGAGGGTAGTTTGCTTTACTCAAAGTCTACTGATTTAAATGTTAATCATATCTAAAAAAAATCCTCATGCACTCCAACGTTAATGGCAGCATTAGTTACAATAGCCAAGAGATGGAAGCAACCTAGGTGTCCACAGATGGATGAATGGATAAGCAAAATGTGGTCTATACATACAACGGAATATTACACAGCCTTAAAAAGGACAGAAATTCCGACACATGCTACAGCATGGAGAAACCCTGAGGATATTATGCTAAGTGAAATAGGCTAGTCACAAAATGGCAAATACTGTATGATTCCACTTATATGAGGCCCCTAGAGTCGTCAAATTCATAGAGACTGAAAGTGGAATGGAGGTTTCCAGGGGCTGGGGTGGGGGATGGGGAGTTGACGTTTAACCGGGACAGAGTTTCTGTTTTGCAAGGTGAAAGAGTTCTAGAGATCTGTTGTGAAGCAAGGTGCATATAGTTAACAGTACTGAACTGTACATTTAAAAATGGTTAAGATTGGGGCCGGCCCCATGGCTTAGCAGTTAAGTGCTCACGCTCTGCTACTGGCGGCCCGGGTTCGGATCCTGGGCGCGCACCAACGCACCGCTTGTCCAGCCATGCTGAGGCCGTGTCCCACATACAGCAACTAGAAGGATGTGCAACTATGACATACAACTATCTACTGGGGCTTTGGGCAGAAAAAGGGAAAAAAAAAAAGGAGGAGGATTGGCAATAGATGTTAGCTCAGGGCCAGTCTTCCTCAGCCAAAAGAGGAGGATTGGCATGGATGTTAGCTCAGGGCTGATCTTCCTCACACACACAAAAAATGGTTAAGATGGTAAATTGTATGTTATGTTTTTTTACCACACATAAAAAAAGAACAAAGACTGTGGTATGTCACAGATGTTCAATAAACGTTAGTTCCCTTCTCTAACACTTTTTGTTAGTTTCACCACTGTAATCAATACTTTTATGAAAAAAACTTCACAGCAGCACCCAGACTCATGTCTGCACAAACACTGGACATCAAGCCAGCTAAAGTGACATAAAATTAACCCTCAGCCCTGTCAGTTCTCAGGCCCTGGGGCCCCACTCATCCTGCCTTCTCCCCCATCACTTTCTTCACACGTCGTGGTTTGGCCTTACAGCCATGACTAGTTTTACTGAAATGCTGTTTTACTTCCAGTTCCTGGTCTTGTTGCTTGGGATTTTTGAGGGAGAGGTTAGAAAGTCTTTTTGCATCATCACAGAGCCCAAAGCCAAGGCTGGAGGGCAGCTGGGATGGAGGGAGGGGGCCCAGAGCTGGCTGCTCCTACAGCCCCAGCCTGGGCCTGCTAGCCTGGTGCCCACTGGAGCCATCCTGTCCCCGTGAGCACAAATCTTGTGGCCTCAGCAGCTGGCCTTCCAGAGGGAGGCGTCCCTGTTGCTTCGGATATATTCTGGCAGGCGGAGAGCCAGCGGGGCTGTCAGGGGACACGGCCGACCTCACCTGCCCAGATTCATCCAGTGGTCACGGGGCTGGGGCAGGGGTGTGTGACTCTGGGGGCCTTGCACGGGGTGAAGGGAACTAGGTGGGGCCCATGTGTGACTATCCCCAGGAGCGGGAGCTGGAGGGGGGTTAGGAGGAGCCCCCTCAGCCCCGACTTGCAACCACAGACCTCGAGCACCATGGCTGGGCCAGCAGGTCTTGCACCCACTGCCTGGATGGGAGCCTGAGGACTGAGGCTGAGGCGTCGGGAGCTGGCACCACTGCCCCAGGTGGGGTGAGGGGTGGGGTGCGTGTGTCTGAGGGCTGAGCACATGTATGTAGGCGTGTGTGCTGTTGTGGCATCTTGTTACTAAACAGCTTGGCCAGGCGGCTTCCTCGGGAGCCAGCTTTGCTGTTCTGAGTGGAAGGGAGGTCAGGTTTCCCTGAGAAACCCCAGAATAGACAGGAAACCTGGCCTGGCTTCCCAGTGGCCAGTCCAGCCCCATGGTCCTGTCTGCCTGCCCCTCTCACCCCCAGCCCATGTCCAGCTGTCTCCTCCCTAGACTGGGGACCCCCAGCCCTTTCTGCACAGGGTGGCCAGAGGCTGTCCCGAATGCATTTGTTCATTCAATCTGTCTTTAGAGAGGGCCTGCAGAGTGCTGGCTGGGGATGTGGGGGCGTACCTGGCCAGGGCGGGCATTCAAGAAGAACCCTCACGAACAAGCGACAACAGCCTGGGTGAGGGTCCCGCGGCAGAATGGTGGAAGAAGGTTGAGACGGTGAAGAGGGAAGAGTGAAGGGGTAACAGCACGTGTGAAGGCCCTGGTCAGCCCCTTTCCTGCCCCCGGCCCACGGGCTCCATCCTTGCTGTGGCCCCAGGAGGGCTGAGGCTGGGGCGGGGGCCTTGGCTGGGACCCAGGGTCCGAGGGGGAGCTCCAGGGTGAGGGGGTACCCAGGGTGAGGAGGGCCAGGAAGGGGCATGTGGGGATAGGCCAAGCCTGTCCCGAAATAGGGCCGGCAAGATCTCCTGGGCACACGAGGCTCGTGCTTTCCAGACTCTGGGGACTCCAGGCAGCTGGGCCCAGCTAAAAGGGGGCTGCCACCTCTGCCCCTCGTGCTCTGCACTGCAGCTCCAGTGCCACTGTGCAGTGCCCTCTCAGCTGGCCACAGACATGGTAAGCCCGCTCCTGGTGCCCGGCAGAGCCCCCAGTGGACTGGCTGGGTGGTCAAATGGGAGCTGGGGGCAATGCCCAGGGGGAGAGAAGAGGCAGGCCCTCCAGGCACAGCGATTGGCTGGGGCTGTGCCTGAAGGTGTGAGGGTCTCTCTGGGAACTTGAGGAGGAAATTCAGTGAGGCTGGACAGGGACGGCAGAGTAGGGGGGCCTTGGCCTGCCAGCCACTGGCACTGCCCTCACTCTGGGGACAGGGCAGAGCAGCCCTTTCTGAAAAAGGGTAGTGGGTGGCCAGGTGCTGGACTATCCCCCTGGGACCCCAAAACAGGCCAGCGGCCAGGACTCGGCCCCAGGGTGTCCCCCAAGCCCTGTCTTCACGTAGGCCTGGAAACCCCTTGCCCTGGAGCCCTTACCCTGGCCTGGGTCAGGCTCTTCCCCACGCTGGTCTATGGTGTCCTTCACCTAGTCGCACCTGGTGTCCACTACCTCAGGCTCAGGGACTGGGCTTGGCCCACCTGCCCTGTAGCCTCCACTGCCCTCTCACCTGGCTGGCCTGCACCCTGGCTCCTGCGCACCGAACTCCCCACACCGGCCCCCGCCTCACGTTCCCTTCCCCTTTAAGCGGCCTGGCAGAGTCCTGCTCACTCTCAAGACCCATCACTTGTGCCACCTTGTCTGGAAGCCTGCTCTGGGCTAGGGGGTCTCCTTTTTCAGCCAGAGGCCCCAAAGGGTGGCCAAGTGGATGGACGGGGCCAGGTACCTTGTGCCATGTGTCCTGGGGCCTCCAACCTCCCCCGGACTGAGGGGCAGAGGGGGCCCTTGTGAAGCTGGGCTGGCGTGTTCCCACAGACGGAGAAGTGCCTGATGGCCAAGCAGATCAAGGAGTACAAGAGGGTCTTTGAGATGTTCAATGAGGAGGGCAATGGGGATGTGAAAACGGGTGAGCTAAGGCACCTCATGAGCCTGTTGGGCATCAACCGCACCAAGAGCGAGCTGGTCTCCATGGCCAAAGATGTAGACAGAGACCGTGAAGGGGCAGCCCTGGGGGCAGCCCTGGGAGGGTTGCCTGTGCATGTGAGTGAGGAGGGGCTGCGGCCGGCCCATCCTCACGTCGGCCCCTGCCGCTGCTTGCTCCCTGCAGACAAAGGCTTCTTCAACTGCGACAGCTTCCCGGCTCTGATGGGGATTTACTCAGAGAAGGCCCAAAACCAGGAGAGCAAGCTGAGGGCAGCCTTTTGCGTCTTTGACAAAGAGGGCATGGCTACGTCGACTAGGACACGCTCAAGTAGGGCCGGGGGCTGGAGGTGGGATGGGCGGGGGCCAGTGCCCAACTGGCCACCACTCAGTGGGGGTCCCACAGGTATGTACTCATGAACGCGGGTGAGCCCCTCAACGAGGTGGAGGCCGAGCAGATAAAGGAGGCCGACAAGATAGGGACAGGACCATCGACCCTGAGGGTAAGCAAGAGATGGGCCTTGGGAGCCCAGCGGCAGGGCCAGGCCGGGCTGCTGACCTGTCCCTTACTCCCAGTGTTCGTGGCCATGATGACCCGAGAGTCCTTCAAACTGGTTCGGTAGGAGCAGCTGCTGCGGCCGTGGGAGGCCTGTCTGAGGAAGGCTACTGCCCGCTGCTGGCCGCACTGTGGCCCACACTGCCGCCCACCCCGTCCCACCCCACCCCAGCTTTGTGGCCAATAAACGCTCCAGCCAGACGCGTGTGTGCTTCACTGTCCCCAGCCTGGAAAGGAGGGGCCCGCAAAGATGTGGGTCTGGAGAAGAGAGAGGGTTTTCCTGGGCCAGCGATGGCACATGGCCTGTCACTTCTGCTGCAACACCTAACACTGCCCACTGCTCAGCTCTGGGCTCTGGATGCCAGCCTGAAGGCCAGACTGGGTGTAGGTTGAGGACCATGTGCTTGCCCTGCCTGCCTGCACTGGGGAGCAGCTGCCTGAGGGCCCCTCCCAGAGCCCTTTCCTACAGGCAGAGACCACTTAGATACAAACTTTATTCTCTCTCCAGAAAGCTGTGGACATCACAGCCAGCCCTGAGCCCTGAGGCTTAGGCCTTTGGGGCCTCCTCTGGGACAAGGCCCTGCTGGGCTGCACTGGGCAGGGGCTGGGGCTGAATGCAGCAGCCTGCTGTGTGTGTGTGGCCAACATAGGGCTGGCCGGCTCGGCTGTCTGGCGTTACATAGCAACGAGGCCAGGGCTGCAGCAATGTGCTGGACGGCTGGCCTTCCCGGGGGGAAGGATGGTGGGGGTGGGCTGGGGGTCCCGGCTCCAAGTGCTCTCGGAGCACAGGGTGGTTGGAGGCATTGGGAGGTTCAGGAGAGTTTTCTCCCTCCTTTGAGGGGCACCAGGGCTATAGCTGGGAGTGTTGGGCATTGGTGCCCAACTCCTGGGGCTCCTGGAGGAGTCTCTCGGCCTGAGGCCCCGGGGAGGCGGCTGGGCTACTGGGAGGGGGGCGGCTCTTCCTGTTCGGGTTTGGCCATCTTGATGGCCTCATCATAGGAAGGCGGCAGCTCGGGGGCATACAGGCTGTAGGCGGGAGGGGTCATGGAGTTGAGGTCCAGCTCCCCAAAGGGCTGGGACAGCCGCGTGGTCAGCGGGTACTGCACAGAGCTGTAGGCTGCAGGAAACCAGAGTGGGTTTGTGGGGATGGGTTTGGCCCTTACCCCCCCTACCCTCACCCCCGCCCCCTCTGCAGGCAGGCAGACAGGCCACCAGGCATGTCTGCAGGCACTCACAAGTCATAGTGCTGTGCACCGGGCTGTCACTATCCACAGGAATGACTGTCAGGTCGCAAGGCTGAGGTGCTGGTGGCAGGTGTGGCTGGGTGTGTGCCCGCTTCCGGAGGCAGCAGAACCGGACACAGCTGGCTGTGACCCCACACAGCAGCAGCAGGAGGACAGCGAGCAGGATAAGCCTGGGCAGGGAAGAGCAAGACCCTACCACTGGACTGACCCCTCAGCCACTGGGCACCTGCTTCCTGGGGGCGGTCATGGCCCAACTGCCCGAGACAGGACAAAAGAAAACCAGAGAATGTCCCTCCAGGTCAGACACCACCTTCTTGGCTAGAGCGGGGCCTCAGGAGCTGGCCCACCCTGGCCTCCTGCTGCTGGGCCTGCCGTGGCTGTCTCTCCAGGGCTGGCCACAAGTGGCCTTGGGCTCACTCCCAGGACACACTGTCCCAGGGCCGACTACACAATCCTGTGCCCAGACCAATGAGCGTATTCACAGGGGCCTCCTGCACTGGCGAGGAGGGAGGGGGTGGGAGCTGAGCAAGCAGGCTATGAAGGGAGGTCTTGCCAAGGGCTCGAGTGGCCCGTGCTGTGCGGGGCTGGGGCAGGACCCACACGGGAGGCTGCCCCTGGTGCTGGGGGCAGGAGTCTGCTGAAGGCTGCAGCGTCTTCCCGCCGTCGGCCCGGGAAGGGGGCAGTGCTGGCGACTCCAGCCATGGAACCAGGCAGGGTGGGGTCTGGTGGGCCTGGCCTCGGGGAGAACCGTCGGGCCCGGCTGCGCGCCGCGGCCTCCACTTACCCCACGTGCCACAGGCTGCTCCAGCGGGCCTGGGGCGGGCACCTGCGGGGAGGGCGGCACCTGGAGCCGGCGGGGCAGCAGCCGGTCGGCCGTCCCGCCCAAGGCTCCCCACAGGGCGGGGCAGGGCCCTGTCCCCTCCCCCCGACTTACTGGTCGGAGGGGTCGCAGCTGCTGTCCGCGAAGCCCAGCGCCACCTGCGGGGACAGGGGTGAGCCCGGGCCGGGGCGCGCCGCGCGCAGACCCGCCCCGCGGTGCCCGAGCCGAGCGCCCGCGACCCACCTGCGGCAGCGGCAGGAGCGGCGGCAGCAGCAGGAGGCCGCAGACAGCCGCCAGCCCCGCGAACATGCTCGGCGTGGACGAGGAGCTCGAGCTGGGCGCCCCACCGCTTTAGGGAGGCCCCGCCCCGCGCAAGCCCCGCCCCCGAGGCCGCGTCCGTTGGAGGGCCCACCCTTCAGCCACGCCCCCGACGCCCCTCCCCCAAGTCTCCGCCCTATGGTAGCCGCGCAGCTGTATGGAGGCCCCGCCCAGTGTAAACCCCGCCCCCGGATCCCGTAGCCTCGCCCAACATGCCCCGCCCCCAAATCCGCACCCAATGATAGCCGAGCCCTTTAGAGGCCCCGCCCCTGTGGGCTCCGCCCACTGGAGGCCCTGTCCCGTGGCCACGGCCCTGCCCTAAGGCAGCGCCCACCTGAGGGCCCGCCCCTTGAAGCCACGCCCAATGCAAACCCTGTCCTGGCAGCCCCGCCCCCGGATGCTCCACCCCACGGCCCCGCCCGCCAGGCCAGTCCCCTCCGTGTCTCCGAGCCTAGGGTCGCGAGACAGGACCCTGGGTGCCGGTGGTGTTGGGGGCTCCGAGGGGCTGTTAGGAGTAGGATATGGCAGGACTGGCCTAATTGCTGGTTCTGAGTGGGGGGGTCAGGGAGGGGGTGCTCTGGGCCCCTGGGTTCACCGGGTCCTCGGCGCGAGCGCGGAGCCCCCAGCCCGGCCGGGCCAGGCCTGTCCTGCAGTCGGGCTCGGTGTGGACCGCGGCGCCTCCTGGAAGGTTGTGGCCTCGGAGGGTGGCAGCCAGGACAAATGTGAGCAAACCTCGCACACACCGCGGCGCTCAAGGGAAAGGGCCGCAGCAGTGGAGACGCAGGGGTTCAAGCGCGTCGTTCAAGGACATTTATGGACTCTGAAGGCGCTCCCCGCCTGGGTCTGGCCCACCGGGAATCGGGATTAGGAGCCGGGCTCTGGGCCCTCGAGGCGCCATGGGCGCACACCACTTTCGAGGAGCACTTTGCCTTGAAAGCCACGCTCAAACCTGGGGAATGTGGCCTTTGTGGCCTCTGGGCCTGGGGGCCACAGATTGCTCAGCGCCCTTCCCTCGGCCTGGCGTGCCTGCTGTCCATTCCGCTGGGGAAGCTGGCAGCCTGTTGGTTCACTCTGGCCTCGGCTCTACCATCTGGTGGTCAGGCTAAGGGAGGTGGTCAGCACGGCAGGGTGCAGGGTGGTCTGCCTTGTCCGGGGAAGGTAGGAGGAGCAGCCGCCCCTGTCCTGTCTTTCTTCCTTGCACCCAGGACACAGTCTGCATGCACCTCCCCCTCTGGAAGGAAAGTGACCCCACCTCCTTGAGGGCAGAGCCTCCCTGGCTTGGCTCTCTCCTGCCTGGATCTGCCAAGCGCTTGCTCCTTGATTTTGGCCAGGTTCTGTCCCAAAGCTGTCCTGCACCTCTGGGCTGTGCCCACCCTGCTCCGGCTGGGCCACCTGAGCTTGGCTCCTGGCCGGCCTTCCTCCTCCTCCCTCCTGCCTTGACTGCCCTGGAGGCTCAGCTCAAGAGTGGGAGGGAGGAGGATGGGCAGAAGTCCAGCCAGTGTGTAGCAGTTCAGGTGGGGCATTGGCCAGGCCAGGGCTTAGAAGACAGTGGCCTGCCCCTTCTGCTGGCCAGCCCGAGGAGGAGGCACGGACAATGCCCTGCAGGGAGCACCTCCTCCTGGGCCTGGGCCTGCTCTGCTGGGTCCTGCCTTCTCCTTTCACCTGGTGAGGAAGCGGCTTGGACCATGGCTGGTCAGCCCCAGTGAGGGGTAGGAAGGGACCTGGTTCTGCCCACCAGACAGAAGTCCTACAAAATGCCGCTCTAGGGTCACTGTCACTGGCTCTAGGTTAGGGAGATGGTAGGCTTCCAGGCACCAAGGGCACCGAGGAACTGGGGTGAGGGCAGGTGCCTCCAGGTTGGTGTCCTGAAGCCTGTGCCCAGGAAAGGCCGCAGATGCACCGTGCCCTCCACTCCTGCCAGGGAAGGCTGCGTGTGTTCTCCTGGCGGGTGGTGGCACAGGCCTGGGGTGGGTGGGGTGGGCATGCTGGGCTGTGCCAGGCCAGGTGGGCTCTGTGGGGACAGTGTCCAATCAGACATTATCCACAATGCAGGGGCTGGGGTGCAGACACCATTCTGAGCTCCCAGGAGTGTCTCATGGGCTGTGGGGGCCTCTACCTTGAAGGGCTGGTTGAGGCCCAGAAGGCTGAGCTTGGACTCAGTTCAGAAAAGTGGAAAACCAGACTCATGTGCTGGGCCTCACCCTGGACCCCTCTGAGGGAGGACACGAGGAAGGGTGTGTCCCTGACATTTGCTGGCTCCTTGCTTGGGGTCAGCAGGGATCCTGGAACTTGGGAGGAGCAGAGATGCCTAAAGGGCCCCTCTGGCCTCTGGAGCCTCCTGCCCCCTTTTGCCTCCTCGCTGGGCCTCTCGGGTCTGGGCCAGTTTCAACTCCAGCTCTACATCCCCAGCACCCTGGTCTGACAGCTGTGGCCCCAGTGCTCCAGGCATCTACCCCTCCTTGGTCTCCTAGGCAGAGTTCCTTGTTTTACGGACTGGTTTGCATATGGGTGAGTAGGGGACAGGGGACTGCCTCCCCAGGGCTCTGTCCCCACCTTTCGTTCTGTGCTCACCCTAGCAAATGACTCGCTGTTGCCCGCAATGCAGGCCTGTATGCAGTGGCTCACAGAGGGTTTATTGGCAGACCTGTGGGAGCAGCTCTTCTAACCACTGGGGGCTCTAAAGGCTGGGTGGGTGCCAGTGGGGCTGGGGGCTCCGAGGGGCTGTTAGGAGTAGGATATGGCAGGACTGGCCTAATTGCTGGTTCTGAGTGGGGGGGGTCAGGGAGGGGGTGCTCTAGGCCCCTGGGCTCACCGGTTCCAGGGCAGCAGGAAGCGGCCATGCCTTGGGGCTGGGGTGCCCTGGCCATGGGGCCATGCAGAGGGCTGCCCATTTAAACCTGCCCAGCAGGGGATGTGCAGGTCCCGGGCCCCTGATGGTTCGGCCTGGCATTAGACTAGGGAAGGGCCTCGAGGGTGGGCAGGAGGGTCTGAGGGGGCTCTGTGGAGAGACTCCTGTGGCCTCAGGGGCTGGTCACCACCTGGGCTACAAAGAGGACCTTGTACATCTCCTTCACATCCCCCCTGAGCTGCAGCAGGGCTGACACCATGAGTGGGTGGTCCAGCTGGAATGGGAGGGGTGAGGAAGGAGGGAGACCCTTAGCCAACGGGTGCACCAGGCAGATCTGCCCACCTCACCCACCCAGGGCCCACTCAGCCGCTCCTCCCAGGGTGGGGAAGGGGTGTCATCTTGCCCAGCCTTTGGATTTTACAGGGCTCTCTGGCTGCAGTCCATGGCACCTACATCAAAGTCGGCAGGTGGCGTCCAGGAGATGCTGATGGTCTTGGTCTGGCCGCGCTCCACGAAGCCCTTGGAGGGCTCGATGGTAAAACCCTTGTGCTGCAGGGACGCGATGCTATCCAAGCTGAACTCGACAGTCTGTGGGGCATTGGAGCTGCAGGCAGGCCGGCAGGCCTGGCACAGCTCCCAAGAGGCACTGAGACTGGGGGCAAGGGTGTCCAGCTCCACCCACCCTCTCAGCCCTGACCAGCAGGCTGCCCACCCCACACCTATCAAGAGGCAAGGCCAGGAGAGGCCTGGGCTGCCCAGGGCGGGGCAGTTGCAGAGGTGCCAGGTGGGTTGGGGCAGTGCTGTGGTCACCTTCTTTGGGGACAGCTGGGTGGTCCGGATGCAGCCCACCTGCAGCTCTCGGGTGGCAGGTGGGGCCGGCGTGTCTGTGTCCAACTGGAGGTAGTCCAGGGTCACCAGGATGGGCTTCAGTTCCTCACCTTCTGGAGAGGGAGGGCCTGGCTCGGCTGGCTGGCCCAAGGAGGGGTGCAGCCAAAGAGCGAGGGAGCTGCCTGGGGTCAGGCGAGGAGTGTGGGGGGAGCTGGCCCTCATGAAATCCCCGTTTAGCATGCGCTCCCTTGCTTTGTCGGATAGGCCAGGAATGCCGGCCAACCCCACAGGCTTCCTAGAGTTAAGGGTGTGGCTGAGGAGCAGGAGGGGTGCTCTTACTGCCACCACTGCTGGGCTCCCACCCCCTTGGAGGGCTCACCCTCTCTGCACTCGGGGTCCAAGGTGGGGATCATGGTCAGGGACTCCACAGGCACGTCGAGGGGGTCTCCGCCCTCTACGAACATCATGTGCTCGCGGGCTGCGCCCTTCAGGAGGATCTGGTGGGAGATTTTCTGGGGACGAGGAGCACAGCAGCCTTGTCCTGTGACCCTGCAGCTGGGGCTCCAGAGGGGCAGGGCAGGGGATCCAGGATGCTGGTCCCTCCACCTGACGACCTCCAGCGCAGTGAGAGTCCAGGGGCCTGAGCTGGGCCTCAAAGTGGGCAAAGCAGGAAAGGGCCAGGAGGGCACAACATGTGGGCAGGTGGCGAGGGTCGCGGAGGGAGTGGGGTCCAGTGTGGGCTCAGCGGGGGGGCACACCTTCTCCAAGAGCACGACCTGCAGCCGGTCAGAGAAGTATAGGCTCTCGTGGTCCGGGCTGAAGGTCACAGTGAAGTCCTGGGCCCCACCTGGGTCCAGGATGCCCTCGACTGGGACCACGCTGAACACGCTCTGGCCACTGTGGTTCTGCGTGCCTGTGGGTGGCCGTGGGCGGGTCCCCTTGCACCTGGCTTACCCCCACTGCCCAGTGGAGGCCCCCTCTCCCCTTGTGCCTTGCCTACCCCACTGCTGCCCAGCGCTCCCCCCGCCCCATGCTCCTGCTAGCCTCCTGTGCCCTGCCCCATCGCAAACCCTGCCTTCCCATCTAGCCCCATCCCTGATCCCTCCTGTCCCCTAACCTCATCCTGCCCTGCTCCGCCCGGCCTCCCCACCCAGCTGTGGCTCCACGCCCTGCCCACCAGCTCACCCACGATGTCTGTCCTCTGGGCCCGTGAGCTGAGAAACTGTGGCAGCTGCTGCTGGCCTCCCCTCCCCGCATTGGAGAGGCTGTCCAGCTGCATGGAGAACCTGATGGGCAGTGAGGAGTTGTTCTGCAGCTGCAAGGAGAGGGCACCTGTCACTGGACTGCATCCCAGCCATGGCAGGCAGGCCTCGGGGCGCTCTTGCCCTCTGGGCCACACCCTGCTGAGCGACCATCCGCCCTTGTCTCCGAGTCCCACCCAGCGCTCTTGACACCTTATTGAGCGTCGGTTCATCTCGTTCAGCCTTACGTCATTCCTCTTCCAGGCTGCTGCACCCAGCCCCAGCCACCCTGCCTCACGCGGGGACAGTTCCGTGCTGCCCTCTGTCCTCTAGAGCTCCCTGTGCCGTCAGGCTCAGGTTAGCCTTCAGCTGAGCCAATGTCCTCACTCAGTTTCTTCCCTGCCCTCACCCCCTTCTCCTGAGAGTGCCCCTCCTCAGTAAAGCACTTCAGGGAATCCTAGTCCCTGGCTCTGCTGCCAGGACATGACCTAAGCCAGGTGAGGAAGCAGGTGTCCTGAGGGCTGCTTGATCCTGAGGCTGGTGTGTCCCTCAGATGCTGGAGGGACACTGGGAGCCAGGCCTGCCCTCCTGCACGGGCGTGGGCACCCATACTGCGGTGGGACCCACCAAAGAAGTCTGCAACCCCTCCCCCAGTGGTGCCTGAGCTGAGCTCATCCTCCTCCTGGTGGGATGGCCCATGCAAAGGCCCTGAGGCAGGAAGGCAAGGAGTGCTGAGGAGGCAAGCGCAGCAGAGGGGTGGAGGGAGGGAGCATCCTCAGCCTTCCCTCACCGGAGAGGGCAGCAGAGGTGGCAGCTGCCAGGGTGCTGACAAGGGGTGGCCTGCACCTCCGCTGGCTCTGCACCAAGGTGGGGTTGACCCCTTCCAGGGTGGAACCCCTTCCTAGGAGGCTGGAGAGGGCGTCAGGCCCCCACGACGTGCTTCACCTTGAAGCCGGAGGAGACGGACTCTCTGGCAATCACGTAGCCCATGTTGAGGACACCCCCTTCAATGGAGCATGTGATTGTGGATGCCACGCCGGTGCCCACGAGGGTCAGGGAGAGCGCGCCTCTCTTGGTGATGATGTCTAGCACTTCTCGGGCCTACGGAGACCACGTCCCTTAGCATGGAGCAGACGTGTCAGAGGCACGCGCTTCAGCTCTGCTCACACTGGAGCACGCTGGAGCTGAGACCACTTGGGGCTCCCTAGCCTCCTCCCGCTTGTCAGAGGCGAGGGCCCAGGGGCTTGGCTGCTCCGGACTGGGTGAGCTACAGGCCTGAGCACACGGCGGGCGTGCAGTGTGGAGCAGGGTCTGCGGAGCCCCAGGGCTGCAACATGGCTTAGGGTGGGCCTGGGACTCACCAGGACGCTCTCACAGGGAGAGAAGGACAGCGCCAGGACGTGGGTCTCACCCGCGGGCAGCTTGCTGATGGGGTTCAGCAGGACAAAGGGGCCATAGGGGTTCAGCACGGAGAACTCCACCTGAGGGCCCAGCGTCAAGGACAGGTGGCGAGGGCGGGGCCTAGCCCCTCACCAGGCCCCCTCTCGCATCCCTGCAAGCTGCCTGGCCTGGGTGTGGACAAGGATACGGCAAGGTCCTCCGGGGAGATGTTCTGAATGGAGACCTTCTTTATGCTGCAGTGTCCTGAAACGGGACGGGGGAGTTGGGTCACAGCCCCAGGCCGGGGTGGGGCGTGGGAGCCCAGGTGGTGAGTGGGGGGGCCTGGGTCCCTGTGGGTGGCGATGTGGGGGGGGGCTGGGCTCAATCAAGACTCACCTACAGCGATGTCGCCAAAGTTGGAGATAGTCTTGCCTCTGTCGGATGTCACTACGATGGACGGTGCCACTGCTGGACACCACAGCTCCAGGTACAGGGTATTGTGGGCACTGGGGGCGGGGCAGGCATGCTGATGGCACTATGCCTGCCACGGCCTGACCCCCAGCCCTGGTCAACACTCACCCCAGCCACCGTGCCCCACCCCCGGGACCCATATCAGGGTTGGCAGCAGAGGAGGGACAGTAACTTTTTGGCCAGCCATGTCCCACTGTGGCCAGAGCATCGCACCTGAAGCTCAGGGATTCTGTCCCCTTTCTGTCTTGGATGTCGCCACTGGCAATGACACAAGGGACCACAAACTTTTCGAACTTCCCTGGGAAAGATCGGACCAGGGTGGCCTGGGCAGCCTGGTCGTCGTGGGAACTGGAATGAAGCCAGTGAAATGCATTCGTGCCCCTGCCCCACGCTGCCCCTAGCAGCCTGGAGGCCCCACCCCACCCTCCATGGAAGGGTCCACGAGGCCACACTTCTTTCCCAGGGCCCTGGGCCAGAGGGGTAAGGGGTGGCAGGCTGGGGGCAATGCTGGGGCCCAGGCTGTGGCTGTCCCAGGTTTGTCTGACCAGCTGGCTTCTTCACCTCTTCCTTGGTTCCTGTGGGGGCCTCCCCCCACCCAGGGTCCTGGTTAGGGACCAGAGAGCCATGTTCCTGGGGCTGCAGGCAAAGGTCCAGGGCTGGCAAGTGACTCAAGCCCATCTGAGCTCTCTGAGGCTCATTTGCACCTGGGGAGGCTGGGATTGCTGAGCTGGGAATATGGGAGTCCCATGGAGAGAGGCTGTTCACAGGGACACCAGGCCTAGGGGAATGGGGTGGGCAGATGCCCAGGAAGGCAGAGCCTGTGGAGCCTCAAGGCAGCGCCTGGATCCAGCTGTGTCTGAAGCTAGCCCAGCCCTGGACTTCCAGCTCAAAACAGCTCTGCTCCAGGCAGTCTGTGGGGGCAAATCCCCATGGGGGCCAGGGCAGCGTCTCATCAGAGAGGCCTGGAGGGAAGAGGTGGGGCAGGCTTCTCTCTGCCCACCTGGACTTGAGACCCTGCTTCTGCAGCTCTGGGTGCTGGGTGGTGGAGGTCCGGAAGAGTCGTTCTCGGTTCTGCAGACGCAGCATGGAGAAGGACTGTCTCTGCAGGTCCTTCCTCTGGGTGGCTGTGTCCTTGTGGGACTTCGAGGGGGAGAGGCTGGCTGTGGGGCCACTCAGGGGCTCTGCTTGGCCCGGCAGGCACCATGGCTGCCCCTTGCAGCTCCTCTAGGGCCCAGCCCAGGCCTGGGCAGACTGTCCAGTGCAGGATCCCCGGGGGCACGGTTTTGGAGGGGACGGGGACCCGAACACCAAGAGGCTCCCTCAGCAAGACTGATGGCAGGTGCAGAAGGGACAAGGCAGTGGTCCCCGTGCAGAGACCCCCGCAGACCTGTGCACCTGCACCAGTGTCTGCCTTCACCAACGGGGAAACCGAGGCACGAGGGGTGAAGAATTGGCCAGAACCGGGGTCCCCGTCCCTGGTGCCCTTTCGCCATGCCTTGCTGCCCCACCAGCAGGGCGAAGGTAAGGGCCTCCTCCTTCCGCATGTGCTTGAGCAAGTACGCTCAAGATACAGATCCGGATGTGGACAAGAGCGGTGTCGCGCCGGCCCCCAGGGCAGAGTGGGTGGGTGTCGCTCCGGCCCTGCCTGCACAGCTCCGGGTGGGTCAGTGCGGACGCCTTCCAGGCAGGAGCCCGTGGGTGGCCAGGGCTGGACCCTTTGCGGGCTTTATCCCACGGACACTTCCCTTCTTCCCAGCCTGCCTTCCCCTCGTGGGGTAAGAAGCTGCTCTTGCCCAGAGCTGCAGGCCCTTTGCCGGTTGATCTGCTCCCCTCCATCATGAAACTCGGAGAGTGAAAGCCCCACCTGCTCATCAGTGCTGGAGGGGCCCATCCTCCTGAGCCTACCCTCTGGGGTCCACCTGCCTGGTGCTGCTTTCAAGAGAGGAGGAGGGGCTTTGCCAAGAAAAAGTTTTAACCTCTTGAAACACCTTGACCCACACAATGCACCAGAACAGCCTGCCCAGCGCTCCTGGCACGTGGGCCTGGGCCCCAGAGCCTCGAGGGGCTGCGGGGTTTGTTCCCAAGCGGCCCCTGCCCCGTGCCCCCATGCCCCTCCTCTCAGCACCCCCCACGCACCAATTTTCCCTCCACTTCTTTGGTCAGGGCCTGGAAGGCTTCCTGGCGGATCAGCTCCCTGGGCAGCACTGGCCGGAAGGCCACCTGGACCAGGCACCTCTGTGGGGAGAGGAGCCCAGAGGGCAGAGCTGGCCCCTGGTGGTGCCCTGGCCCCCTCAGCACCCCACCCCCCATCTCCCCTGGATTCCCCGGGGTCGCACTCGCTGACACTCCTGGTGTGATGGCTCCATCTCTTCTTTGGGATGTCAGCTTAGCATGCCCCTTCCAGGCAGGCGCTCCCTGCCTGCTGCCCCTGGGAAGTGGGGTGGGCTGCAGTGCATGATTACCAAGCCCACTCTTACTATCTGGGGTGGGGGTCCCCGTGATGGAAGCCGTGGATGGGCCAGGACCCAGCCCACTGCCCATGAGGCCCAACTGAGAAACAAACCTTCATTTTCAGCCATTGAGATTTGGGGGTGAGTTCCTGAGCCCTAACCTGTCCCTGTGACCTGAATAGCAGCCTTTCCAAAGCAGTCCATCCCGTGGGAAGTCCCAGGTCCCACAGAGGACTTGCTCCTCTTGGTCTCCCCAGTGCTCAGTACAGCAAAGGAGGCATGGTGGGGAGAGGAAGAGAGGGAGATTGAGAGAGGGAGAGGGAGAGGGAGAGAGAGGGAGAGACAGATGGAGAGAGAGAGAGAGAGAGATGGAGAGGGAGAGAGAGAGGGAGGGAGAAGGAGAGAGAGAGGGAGGGAGGAGAGAGAGAGGGAGAGGGAGGGAGAGAGAGATGGGGAGAGAGAGATGGGGAGAGAGAGGGAGAGACAGATGGAGGGACAGAGAGGGAGAGAGAGATGGAGAGGAAGAGGGAGAGAGGGAGAGAGGGAGAGGGAGAGAGAGAGGGAAGGAGAAGGAGAGAGAGAGAGGGAGAGGGAGAGGGAAGGAGAAGGAGAGAGAGAGAGGGAGAGAGAGAGGGAGAGGGAGAGGGAGAGGGAGGGAGAGAGAGAGAAAGAAGGAGAAGGCACAAGCACAGCTGGAATACTCCCCGTGGAGACAGAACCATTACTTAAGCAGAATTTGCTACATTTAATGAAATGTATTTTAAATAACATACTTGGTGAAACCCTGCTGGGTCCAGACGTCCCCAGCACCTTCCTGGGCCTGTTCTTACCTAGTCTTCCCAATAGACGTCACAATGGCTGTCACCCCTAACTTTTTTTTTTTTTTGTGAGGAAGATCAGCCCTGAGCTAACATTCATGCTAATCCTCCTCTTTTTGCTGAGGAAGACCGGCTCTGAGATAACATCTATTGCTCCTCCTTTTTTCCCCCAAAGCCCCAGTAGATAGTTGTATGTCATAGCTGCACATCCTTCTAGTTGCTCTATGTGGGACGCGGCCTCATCTTGGCCAGAGAAGCGGTGTGTCTGTACGCGCCCGGGATCCAAACCCGGGCCGCGAGTAGCGGAGCACGCGCACTTAACCGCTAAGCCATGGGGCCAGCCCGTGTCACCCCTAACTTTTGAAGGTAAGGAATGAAGCTCAGAGAGGCTGTGATGAGGCTCAGAGAAGCGGGGGAGGGCAGGGGACAGGGGACTAGCTGGACCTCTGCCTCCAGGCTCGGTTCTTTCTGCTTTATTAGAAAAAGCAGAAAGTGGGGAAACCCTTGACCAATAGAGTGGACAGACACCCTGCGCTCCTGGTGACCAGGCGCTGTTTGGCCTCTGTGCCCACCTGCTGCGAGACCCAGGGGTCTGCACACTTTCCCTCAGTCTAAACTGCCTGAGCCCCAGCCAGGCGCCTGGGGGTCAGCTGCCTATGGGTGCCCCTGCCTCTGGGGCTCAGGCTGGGCTGGGTGGAGGTCTCGTCAGACCCCAGCAGGGCCAAGGAGGCCTCCGTGGCCTCTCCCCACCGGTCCCTGCTCATCTGCCACAGAGGCCTCCTTGACCTTGCTGGGGTCTGACGACGAGCAGAGTTGACCTGCATATCCTCTGTGTTCAAGGGCAAGCAGAGCCAGGCACTCTGGAGGGCCCAGCCCCAGCACACCTGTGGGGCCCACACCCACCTTTCCTGGCAACACGGTCCCCACCGAGGGTGAGATGGTGATGGGCGAGTCTGGGGGCAGCAGGAACTCAAAAGATGTGGGCCCCATGGGGGAGGTATCCTCCGAGCTGATGCAGGGCACAGAGTGGGCCAGCGAGCTCATGCTCAAGTGAGAGCTGACGACATACAGGGTGGCCACGGACGTGTCGTACAAGGAGGTCGCTGCAAACTTGATCTGGTAGTGGGACAGCTCCAGGGGCGGGTGGACGCCCACGGCCCGGCAGGTTAGCTTGAAGCACCTGGAAGCAACCAGCATGGGTGGGCTCAGCCTGGGCACCTGGGGGCCATCGGGTCTTCTGAGTGGAGATGGGCGGCCCCGTATTCGGAGCACCTCGTGCACAGGGATGCCCAGGAACACGATGGCAATTCTCACAGGTTTTGTTTACTACCCCATTCGTGAATTATTGAAAATACCGTGTACCTCTGTGCACATTTTAAATGGATAGTTAAATTTTGATCATAGGTTTAAATAGTTGCGAAAGAGGTAATTTCTGACTTATTTTGTTAAATATTTATTGACATTTAAAAAATAATGTTTGCTCCTTAAATATAAGCACGGGAATCCATATATCATAGTGAATTGACTCCTGCCATCATCCATTAAAAAAACAACAGATTTTTTTTTTTTTTTTTTTTTTTGCTGAGCAAGATTTACCCTGAACTAACATCTGTGCCAATCTTCCTCTATTTTTGTATGTGGGTCGCTGCCACAGCATGGCCACCAAAGAGTGGTGTAGGTCCACGCCCGGGAACCAAGCCCAGGCCGCTGAAGCAGAGCGTGCCAAACCTAAGCACTAGGTCATGGGGCTGGCCTCAGATATTTGGCATTTTAACCATGGAAAATTTACATTCCATATTTTCTTTGAACTCCTATTTCCACTGCACTCTTCCCACTGAATTTCATCCTAATTACACACATGTTAACGCTTGAAAGGACGATGTTGATTATCCCATCATCCTTGTCTGCAACAGAAACGTGTTCGTATGTTGAAATGTTTCAATGCATATTTTTACATCCTGTGACCACAGGCTCTAAATGTTAAAAACAATTCCTTCTGGGTGGAGATATCATTGCAGTTATTATTAGTACTCAATCAGTTGAAAGAGGAGTGTATGAAGCATGATAATCATTACCGATGAAAAGTGAGGTTTGCTGGGAATCATCTTATGAAGGTGGACGGAGCTGCTGTTTCCCAGTTGGTTCAAGCATCAGAGTGATGGGACCTGTGGCCAGAGTGGCCAGGATCTTCATCCCACCGATGCAGGAACTGGGGATGGAGGGGGCTTTGCTCCCCAACGTCACTCAACCCTTTGAACTCCTTTTCTTTATAAGCCAGAAATTCACATGGCAACACATCTTCTAACGTTATTTTGAATCTGGCAACTCTCTTGGGTTCTCCATTTTGTTGCAAGGAAAGAAGCAGAAGCCCCTGCCATGGTCGCATCACTGAGATGTGCCAGATGCTGTTGTCCTGTGACTCAGAGGCAGCCGGTCAGCCCCGGACCTTGAGAAAAGGCAGAGCCGACCGTCTACTGTTACCCCAACACACGTTGTCAACACCACATCTGCTATTGTACACCTATTAGAATGCCTCTCCATCCCCCAAACACACAAATGAGACGGTGCCGAACTCTGGTGAGGAAGTGGAGCGCCCACACGCCCATACGTTATTGGGAAGAATGTAAAATGGTACAGCCACTTTGGAAAACAGTTCGATGGCTTCTTATAAAATTAAAAACAAATTTACCATATTACTTTCAATCCCATTCCCAGATATTTGCCCTAGGGAAATGAAAACTCAGGCTCACACAGAAGCCAACATGGGAATGTTTAGAGTGGCTTTGTTTATGGACGCCCAAACCTGGAACCGACCTAAGTGTCCTTCAGCAGGTGAACAGACGCACGTCCATATGGTAGGTGGGGGCTGTGTGGAGCCTGATACTCGTGGACTGGCAGGAGGTGTGTCCTGGGCAAGGGGCAGGGGAGGGGTGGGGCGAGGGCAGGCCATCTATGGGAGGGATGTGCTCCACAGGGTGGAAGCAGGGAGACCAGACAGGAGGAGCCTTGCCATCCAGGTCTGGGGTGTGGAGGAGATTCAGGTATATTTTTAAGGTGGAGCCAACAGGATTTACTGACAACTTGGATGTGAGGTGAGAGAATTAAGAGTCAGGACGAGGCCAAGGGTTCTGGCCTGAGCAACAGGAAGGCCGAGGCCGCGGGTAGAGCAGGTTTGGGAGTGGGTGGGGAGTGGATGAGGCGTCCAGCTTTGGACACACCAGATCAGAGACATCTTTCAGACATCCAGTGGAGTTGGCAGGTAGCCACACTCAGGGAGCTGGACAGGGGACATGCTGGGAACATGAGGGTCCCAGCTGAGGGTGTGCAGTTGGGTCTCGTCTGGGCTGCAGACTCTGCCTGTTCACTCACACTCCGCTGTAATTACTGCGGCCTTATGGCTGGAGCTTCCGCAACCCCCGTAGAGCTTCTGCTGAGGGCCAGAGCCCGTGCTGGGCACTGGGGTTGCCTCAGTGAGTGACCAGGTAGGAACCCCGCGTCTTGTGGGACTTGTTTTCCGGAGGCGGAGAGAGATGTGTCACAGCACACTAGCGGGCCACAAGAGCTGGTGGGAGGGGCGGCAGTGCAGGGTGGGACTAGCAGATGGGCAGAGTCAGGTCCCCTTGATTTCCTCTGTGGGTCCTGACTCTGCACTTCACTCCCTAAAACCTCACCACCACCAACTCACTCCTGCTTCCCTAGGAGTGTGGGAGTCAGACCCAGGGGGCGTGCCAGTCCTGCCCATGGCCCGGGCTGGACGAGGGCTCGGTCTGAGGGCTGAGGGGCAGCTCTTCTAGGCCTCCGGCCAGCCTGAACCACCCAGGGCTGCCTGGGCTGTCAGCCAGGACCAGACAGCAGCTCAGGCTGGAATGTGGATGGGGCAGGATGAGAGAGGAGGAGAGGGGCAGGCGGGCAGCAGGGCTCCATGGGGAGGACACCTGATGTGGGGCTGGGTGCCCACTGGGGGACATTCCGAAACATTCCTCACTGAAGGCAGATAATCCCAGGCAGCAACAAAAGCTGGCCGCATATCCCAGACCACCACCTCTGTGACCTGCTTCACGTCTCCCTCTCCACCACCTCAGTCTCGTCTCTCAAGAGCGGAAATGGAGGTTCAGGGAGGTCCAGAGAGTGGCCCCATCACACAGCACGTTACAGCAAGCGGGGCTCATGCCCAGGTCCTCCTGAGTCCAGAGGGGTGCTCTGCACACCACACACATGCTCACACACACGCACACTCACTCACTCATACACATGCATGCCCCCGACATGTGCACACCACGTGCATGCTCACACGCATGCCCACACATGCATGTTAACACACACTCATACATGCATGTCCACACATGAAGCCACAGAGTCATACACATGCACCCCCACGCTCACACACATGTCCACGCTCATACGCATGCACACACTCATACCACTCACACTCTTTCCCTCATACACAGGTACTCATACATGCATGCTCACACTCACACACATGCACTCACACGCATGCTCACATGAACTCACACACTTATACACACACGCTCACACACAAGGGTGAGCTGGGCCAGTGTGCAAGGCCCTGAATCCCAGGCGTCTGTACCTGGGTCTGAGGTTCCTGCGGCCAGCAATGTTGCCCAGCACAGCCCTGCGGTCAGCCTGGCTGGCTGGGGGCTCAAAAGTGGTGGGAGGGGCTGCAACCCCCTGCGCCCAAGCTGGCTGCACAGGCTCTCCACGTGCCCTCTCCCGCCAGGCTCACCGGTTGATCTCTGACTTGCAGGCAAGCTCAAAGTTGTAGTCCTTTGCCTTGGTGGGCTGAAAGATCACATCAAGTTGCAGAGTTTCCAGCGGCAGGATCGTCCCAAACCCATCATTGGGCTGGATGTCCACAAACTGGCAAACAGAAAACCATCGATGCCAAAGTGCAACATAGTGATCTGCTGGGGGTCTCACAGGGGGCTGCATGGATACGTGTGTGGCAGGGCTGTGGCAGAGTGTGTGAGTGTGAGCAGTGGGGACGTGTGTCTGCATGTGTGTGAGCGTGTGTGCATGTGTATGTGTGTATGAGTGTGTGAGCACGTGTGAGTGTGCGCACGCGTGAGCGTGTACGTCTGCGTGTGTGGGAGCGTGTGCATGTGTGCACGTGTGAGCATGTCTGCACGTATGTGAGTGTGTGCATGCATGTGCGAGAATGTGTGTATGAGTGTGTGCACGTGTCTATGTATACGTGAGTGCATGTGTGTGCATGAGTGTGTATGAGTGTGTGCGAGCATGTGTCCACATGTGTGAGCATGTGAGTGTGCACATGTGTGTATGTCTGCACGTGTATGAGCGTGTGCATATATGTATGAGTTTGCGCGCATGGGTGAGCGTGTGTGTGCATGTGTGTGTGCATGTGTATGAGTTTGTGTGTGTATGTGAGTGCATATGTGTGCGTGTGAGTGCACGTGTGTGTCTGCATGTGTGTGAGTGTGTATATGTGTGTCTGAGTGTATGTGAGTGTGTCTTCATGTATGTATGTGTGTGTGTGTGGGTGTGTGAGTGGATGGTGGGGTTGGCGGCAGGGCAGCCCAGGGAGGGGCAGACAGGCCTGGGCCTCGTCTTGGCTGCCCTGCAGGGCAGGGAGGGGAGAGGAGTCTGGAGCCCTGTGGGTCCAGCAGATGCAGAGAGGCAAAGGCAGGGCGAGGCAGCAATAGCAGGCAGTGGGGACGAGGAGACTGACAAGTGGAGAGAGACACACAGCCAAGGTGCCTGGAGGTGGGAGTGGGGTATGGGGAAGGGTGAGGCCACTTGGTGCTGGGCACCTGGACCCTGGGGCAGCAGCTGCCTTGGCCTGTCCCCAGAGCCTCCCGACTTGGCCTACACCCCCATGCTCCTCCCTGACCATGTGAGGTACCTTGGGGAGCCCGACGAATCCAAACTCCTGAGGCAGGAGGGAGTGGTTGCAGAGGCTGACTTCGGTCCTGATGGCCTCGTAGATGGTGCAGTAGCCAAAGTCCACCTCGGAGGGGCTGAGCTCCAGGTCTGAGGTGGTGACTATGGCGTGGACGGTAAACCCCACAGGTTTGATCTGAACACAAAAGGCAAGTGCATCCCGGTCACTTGCAGGCAGTTCATGCAAATGCCTCCCAAGTAAGAAAGCACGCGCATTGCTGGGCGACAACACGCCCTTTCATGCACACGAGTCTCTCTTGTAAGAAATCCACTGCCCTGGGGTCCCCTGACTTGGGAGGACATAAAAGCAGCCGTCACAAAGAGGTGCCAAAGAGGAGGGGAGGAGCGCAGGCAGGCGAGGTGTGGGAGTGTGAGTGCACGTGTGTGCACATGTGTGTGCATACATGTGCGCGCATACTGAGGATGTTCACACACATGCACACCTCGGTCTGTGAGTGTGGATGGATTGTGTGTGCACGGGTGTACGTGTGTGTGTCTGTGAGCGCGTGGTATACTGCGTGTGTGCATGTGGGCGTTTGCGGGTTGGGGTGCCTGGGGGACAGCCCCGCCTGGCCCTGGACAGCACTCAGAGGCTTCTCTCTGACCCACAGACACCCTCCCTTCATCTCCACTGTGCAGTGGCTGCTGGTCAGGTGACTGGAAACTTCCACCAGGAGGCTACGTGAGGATGGCTCAAGAACCAGGGCCTTGTCTTTTTGGGGGCCTCGCTCAGGCACAGAGCCCAGACCCCAGAGCAGCCCCCTGTTCCCCAAGAGCGCCCAGCAGTCCTGGGACGGGCCCCACACAGACCTGGTCAGCCACCCATATTGTCATTGGGGCCTCCAGAACTCTGCTTTCCTTGTCAAAATACTTCCCTGCATCTTCCGGGAGGGAGTGTCTGAAAGAGACAGGATGCTCTTGAACGTACTTGTCTTCTTCATATTTTGTAAAACAACAGTAAAACTGAACTATAAGTGGTGTTCTTAAATCATGCAGGAGCTACAAAATATATGAAATATAAAAGCGATGAGCCATGCATCACGCCAGCCTCCTCTTCTCGTGGGGATCCCTGACAGCTGGGCAGAGTGCCTGCCGGCCTCCCGGCCCTCACCGCGGCAGGAACTTGAGCTGCACCGAGTAGGACGACAGGGCCTGGATGTAGCCTGTCTCGGGCAGAAGCTCCATGTGGCCCCTCAGCTCCTCGCACACCTCGAACTTCAGGCGCAGGGCCGCTTTCGACCTGCAGCGTGTTAAGGGACACGAGATGACACTGTGTGTGTTTAATCCTCTGATTGCCCCTTCTCACCACCCAGCTGTCCCCGGGTGCTCGGTGCACACAAAAGCGCCACACGGAGCCGTAAGCCCCGACTGTGGGAGCGAGGGTCTCCACAGCCGTGCTTGTTCAGGGCCGGTTTTCCTGAAAGGAAATCTGATGAGGAATTCTTACAAATGAGAACACTGCGACTGAAGCACGGCCATAGTCAGAGCTCAGAGACCCCGTGTCTTCTGGAAAGTCCAGGTGTGGGCAGGGCTGGTTCCTTCCGGAAGCTCCAGGGAGAATTCGTTTCCTGGCTTTTCTAGTTTCTAGAGGCGCCGCTTACCTTGGCTCGTGGCCCCTTCCTCCATCTTCACAACCAGCAGCACAGCATCTTCCAGTCTCTGGTCTGACTCTGACCCTCCGGCCTCCCTCCTGTGACAACCTTGGATTCCTGTGGGCCTCCCAGGTAACCAGGGTGACCCCCCTTCTTGAGGTCCCTAACTCAATCACACCCGTGGGTGCCCTGCTCCCTGACCCCGGGGCTCACCGCGTGTGGACGAGGATGGAGTCCTGATACAGCCGGTCGTACATGCATATCTTCAGGTCCACGTTGGGCTTTGGCACCCAGACCGGCACGTCGATAGCAATGCCAACGACTCTGAAATATAACTGAATTGAACATGTAAATTCAACAACACGTATTTCCATCAGCAAAGCAGACAATGCCAAAGAGCGTTAATACAGAACTCAGCCGTAGAGTTTTTATAAGTCTTAGAAGTATTGGAAGGTCGATAATTAAACTAGCCAAGTTTTGGAGTTTTGTGGCACTTTTCATATCGTATAATTAAAAAAATCCTTTTTATTATCAAAATTTTCAATGATAAAAAGATAGAATGGTACAGTGCATTGTCATGTACCCATCACACAGCTTCATAACTATCAACATTTTTAGCTGTTTAAAAAGACCTTTTTATTACAAAATCATGTGTCACACAGAAAGGTGTACACTTGATGAAACTTTCACAGCCAAGACAAAACGGATGCTCAGAAGTTTCAAAGGGACCGGGAAAGAGGGGGCACTTCTCCCCCTCCACCTTGGACTCTGGCATCTGCTTCTCCTGGTCAACCTCTGAGTCCTGGGTCTCGGGAGGTTTGGGGTTTGTGGGCGTCCTGCAGGGAAAGCTTATGCACAGCAGCCCCACTCAGGTGGGGCCGGGGCCTGGCAGGTCAGGAGGCCCCGGGGCTGGGAGGCAGGATGAAGCTGCGTGGGCAGGGAACTCTGCACACCTTCCTCCAGGACCCTCAGCCTGGGATGGTGGCCACACCTTCCAGACCACTAGCCCACAACCCGTGGGACTTGTGACACTCAGAACACCCCAGCCACCAGATTCTAGCCACAGGGTTGCCAAAACATACAACCCATTTCCGGGGCCAGAGACAAGAAGACTGGACAGAATAAACAGCAAACATGCCCAGTGAAATGGAGTTGCCGGGAGAGTCATGAGAGGACCTGAGGAGAAGCAGCTTCACTTGAAGGCAGTGGTGTGAGTGGCTGACAGCGGTGGGGCTGACTTGTGGCAGGGGACCGCTGCTCAGAGGGTCTGCGAGGCCCAGGAGCGGCACCCTGACTGCACCCTCAGCACCTGAGTCGGTGGCCAGGCGAGCAGGTGGACGAGGTGACACACTACATGCCAGGCTGAAGAAAGACCCAAGGCCCGGAGGACAGATGAAGGATGTTCCAGGGGCCCACAAAGCAGATGGGGGCCATCAGCATGGAAGCCCCCACCTATAGAGAAGCCCACCAGGCTCCGTCAGAACGGTGCACCCGGGCGTGTCCTGGTGAGTTCCGCATAGACGTATGAGGACGTGCCAGCCTGCACGGGGCCTCCTCGCTGGGGGACGGCAGGCAGCATCCTCAGACCACTAGAGGGAGGGGTCTGCAGGTGGGCAGAACTCAGAACCTCAGGGTCCATCTCGGGAAATGGGCAGGCAGGACTTGGAATCCATCCCTCAGCCCAGGAGGCTGATGCGGTGCGCTCTATCAGAGGGACCGCGTGTGCCCATTCCTGGTCCTTGGTCCCTCCTGTCACCACTGCAGGGGCATTGCGGGCAGTGTGGGGTATTGTGGGGTATCCTGGGGTCCTCTGGGGAAGTATGGGGCTCTTTTGGGCTCTGTGGGGGTAATGTGGGGCAGTGTGGGGCTCTGTGGGGGTATTGTGGGGCAGTTTGTGGAGCACTGTGGGGCATTGTGGGGTATACTGGGGTCCTCTGGGGCAGTGTGAGGCTCTGTGGGGCAGTGTGGGGCTCTGTGGGGTATTGTGGGGTATCCTGGGGTCCTCTGGGGGCAGTGTGGGGCTCTATGGTACAATGTGGGGCTCTGTGGGGCAGTGTGGGGCTCTGTGGGGTATTGTGTGGCTCTGTGGGGAACTGTGGGGTATTGTGGGGTATCATCTATCCCTTGGGGTTCCTGTTATAGAGAAATATTCCCATCTCAACTCCCTGACCCCTGAAAGACTCATTTCTATGGGAAATGTGCCAGCGCAGAGATTCCGATGGAGAGAAGAGGGGAGGAGAGCCTGGTGAGCACACACACCAAACAGTCACACTTGGACAGAGACGGCCGCCTGCGGGCAATGTGGGCCACGGGTGTCGGGCGAGGACTCCCGACAGTGGGGCACAGCAGGAGGGATCCCCAAGACTCTAATGATGGTTGAGTAAGGCCTAGGCGTTGAGGGCAGGAAAGGGGGAAAATAAAAGGGATTCCCAATTGCACTTGAGTTTGGTGGTGAGGAAGCAAGTGAGAGCGTCTTGCTGGGGTGCAGCCCATCCCGGAGGACTGTCCTCCTTCCACAGAAGGACAGAGAGTCACCTGGTACTTGAGGCTGGGGAGCGGGACGGCACCGTTCCAGGAGTGGAAAGTAGAATTTCCAAATAAAGGGAAAAAGCAGAATAAATAGTGGCTTAATCAAACCAATGAAAACAAAATTGAAAAAGAGGAAACAATATCATGAAATAAATAATAACCATAAACGAAGATAGAAGGAGTAAAAGAGAGTCTGTCAGTTCTCACTGTGCAAGTGCCTGGATCCTCCCAGCGGCGGTGGAGAGCGACACTCTGGGCTGAAGGACACCTGAGCTCCATGAGAGATGCAAAGCTATAGAGAAGGACGGCTGTGGGGCCGGCCCCGTGGCTTAGTGGTTAAGTGCGCGCGCTCTGCTACTTGCGGCCCGGGTTCGGATCCCGGGCGCGCACCAACGCACCGCTTCTCCGGCCACGCTGAGGCCGCGTCCCATATACAGCAACTAGAAGGATGTGCAGCTATGACATACAACTATCTACTGGGGCTTTAGGGGAAAAAAAAGGAGGAGCATTGGCAATAGATGTTAGCTCAGAGCCGGTCTTCCTCAACAAAAAGAGGAGGATTAGCATGGATGTTAGCTCAGTGCTGATCTTCCTCACAAAAAAAAAAAAAAAAAAAGAGAAGGACGGCTGTGAAGGGCAAAGGGAATGCGAGGCAGATGTGGACCAGACGGAGGCATGCCTGGCCTGGTCATGGTCACCAGGTCAGCGGGGTCCACAGCAACACAGGCAGCGGGAGGAAGGGGGTTTGGTTCCCCTCCCACAGCGGACGGTGAGGCGGCTGTTAGACACGGAAGAGTGCCTGGCACAGACGTGACATGGGGAGGCAGACACGTGGAGAGAAGATGGATAATGCCAACGACCCAGTTAGTAACTTTGTTTACAGCTCCTAACAAATACATGTTCTTCATATGCACACATCAGTTATAAACTCAACCTTGCCTTCGGCCACAAAGAAAACCTTAACAAATTAAAAAAAAAGAGTTTGCAGGTCATATTCTCTGAGCATAATTTAATAAACTCATAAATAAATGATAAAAAGTAATAAATAAAAATTTTGACTACTTGCAAGTTAGGAAAGACATTTCTAGTGATTAAGAGCAAGGACTCAGTGTGTGAGTGTGTGGGTGTGCACATGTGTGCATGGATATGTGTGCTTGAGTGTGTTCACGTGTGTCTGTGTTGGCTATGGTGCTAACCATCTGTGGCACCAACTAGCCATCCAAGTATGGACAGCACGGGCAACCGCTTCACATGGTTGTGGGGAGTGAACGCAGGGGGACAGGGACCCCATGCCCAGGGAAGGGTCAGAGCTGCGGTGACAACATGCATAAGGTGACAGTGGGATACTCACCGTTGGGCATTGCGGATTCTTAAACACGACCTTGAACCTGGTGTGGACAGCTCCTGGGATAACCGGAGTGAAGATGACGGGCACTTTGACAGAGCTGAAGGGGCCGATCTCACCCTCTGCGACCTGCACGGGAAGAGCCTGGTCAGTCAGGCTTCCTGTTCCTAGCAAAGCGCTGCCCACTGCCCTCAGCACTGCCACGTCACTGCGAGGGTGAGTGGTGGCAGGACCCGTGTCCCTGGGGAGCCCCTTGGCCACACAGACTTGGTCCTAAGCCTGGCCTTGCCCCAACAGGACTCATTGCCCAGGATTCCAGTCAAGGGGAGGAGGCGAAGGGCAGCCTGAACCCTGCCCCAAATGCTCCCCTCACTGTGTGTGCACTCACGCTCGATAACCCCCGGCCCTTGCACACACATGTGCACGCACATGCACACACACATGCACGCCATGCTTCAGCCTAGGAGGCTCTGCTGTTGGTATCTTCTCTGAGCTGGACCTAGTGCCCTGCACCCAGGACACTGCCTCTGCTGCTCTGGTCCTGCCCAGCCCCAGCTTGGGACAGGGGTGGCCAGATGCCAGCTGAGACTGCAAGCTGCCCTGAGGCTGCGAGTCCAGCAGCCAGACAAGCCCAGTCCAGCTCTGATCAAATGGACAGGCTGCCTTGGGGGAGGGGGTCAGGAGGACACAGCTGGAGGAAGGTGGGCTTGGGGCAGGTGGGACTTGCTGACCTCTCCCAGCGAGATTTCCATCTGTTCTTCATGGGGAGGTATGGTCGTGATGGTGGCCATGGTCACTCCCTCTGATTCTGGAAGAGAAGGGGCTCTAGATGCCAAGGCTGGCTGAGAAGGGAGGGGGCAGCTCTGCCCAGACCCACCTGAGACACGGTCAACCCCAACCCATCCTCCAGGAGCTGTGTGGCCCATGGGGAGCTGGTGTGCCAGGGTGCAATCCGGCCCCTCCCTCTCCTGGACCACCTGCTGTATGGGGCTTGTTCTCAGGAGAGGGAGCCTGGGGTAGGAGAGGGGGCCAGAGCTGCCCCAAGGCCCTAGTGAGGGCAGGTGGGCTGGTGAGAGGCGCTGGCCCCGGGAGAGCTGGTGGGTGCAGTGGCCTGAGTGCAGTGTGTCGGAGAGAGGATGGTGGAGAAGAGTGGAGGGAGCAAGGCAGCCAGCCCTTTCGGGCTTTCCTTTAAAGCAGAAGGAGAGGGGAAAGTAGGCTCAAAGGGGTTTTGGATCAAGGTGAGGAGACAGCAGAATGCTGTGTCTGCCCAGAACGGCTGAGCAGAGAGAGAAGGACGCAGATGCTGAGGAGAGGAGGCTGCAGGGGTGTGGCCTGGGGGCAGGGGGCCCAGGGCCCGGGAGGCGCAGCCGAGGGTAGCCAAGGTGTGGGAGGCCCTCCCCATGCCCACCATGCTCTAGGGACTGACCAGAGCGGGAGGGGCTGCTAAATCCAGAAAGTTTTAAGACAGTATTATCTTTCAAGGACTTTTCTTTTATAGTCAATTTCGTAGCCTAATTTTTCACAGGTATTTAGTTTTTCTGTGTATGTGCTGCTGGCATGTTCCAGTCACCGCTTCCCTGCTGTGGGTGTGGATTCTGACCCGCCCTTTGGTGTTCAGGGCAGCACCCCAAGAACCAGCAGGCCATTTATCAGGAAGGCCCCTGAAAGCAGACGCTATCTCCTCTGGTCTGAGAAGGGCTTTCTGTTGACCGTGCACAGGAACAGACACAACTGATAGGGGAGGCGAAGGTCAGCATCCTGTTTGACTCCTCCTCTGGCCTCTGCCCAGCTGCCAGGCTGGGCTGCCGCAGAGCACTGCTGCAGTCCACCGCAGGTCTGCACCCTGGACACCACATGTGGCTGGATTATTACCCCATCAGGTGGTATACACCATTTCTGGGGCCTGGGGTTGCAAAGGCAGAGGGCCCCCAGCTCTGGGTTCTTCCAACTTGGTGGACTTGTCACCCTGCCCAGCAGCCACAACTCACCAGGCTGGGGGAGGGGCGAGTCAGCCACCGCCACCCCAATGTTGACGTCCTGGTGTGCCTCAGGAGTAACCACAGTGACAGCCTGGACCTGAGCCCAGGGGGTCCTCCTCTAGGCCTGAGCCCAGGCCAGACCCTGGGGTCAGCTGCTTCATTCTATGTGGATATGACTAGGGGTCTCTTGGTGTCCCAGTGTGGAAGGGTGTCAATCTGTCTGCTGGGGCTTTCATAAATTCCAGAATCAGGCTCGTTAATCATTAGGAAAGCTTTCTTTAATTACGTGTCCAGTGTTATCTGCTCCAGGGGTCTGTTCCATTCTATCAGTCATAGAGTGAATATTTACTCACTTTCTGGATGTGAGTTTAGATGTGTTTCAACATTTTAGAAAATTCTCAGCAAGTATCTCTTTAAATATTGCCTTTTCCTGACTCCAGGAGACAAGTTAGACCTCCTCACTCTGTCTTCCATGGCTCGGACCATTTATTTCACGTTTCCATCTCTGTCTCTCTGTCTGCATTTAGAAAATTTCTCTGGGTCTGTCTTCTAGTTTACCAATTCTCTCTTCAGCGTTGTCTAATCTACAGTTTAACCCACTGATTGGGGTTTCATTTTCAATGATCATATTCTGACTTCTAGAAGTTTTATTTGGTTCATTTTCAGATCTACTTGATCTTATTCTTTTGTGATGTTTTCAATGTACTGAGCATTTTTAAGCTTATTTTATGTTCAGTGTGATAACATCAATATCTGAAACATGCAAGATTGCGTAGCTCTCTGTTATTTATGTGTATTGAGTGATTTCTTTCCCATTTCTTTTTATTAAGGAATAATTTACATACAGTAAAATTCACCCTTTTTAGTGTAACCTTCTGTGAGTTCTGACAAATGCATACAATTGTGTTCCCCTCACCACAATTGAGATAGAACAGTCCCATCACCCCAAAACCCCTGCCCCTTTGTTGTCACTCCCTCCTCTTGCTCCTGGCAACCACGGGTTTGTTTTCTGTCCCCGTAGCATTGCCTTTTCTGGAATGTCACACAAATGGAATCATGGTTTGTGGTTTTTATGAGTGTGGCTTCTTTCACTTAGCACGATAAATTTGAGATTTATCCATGTTGTTCATGTATCACTAGTTCATTCCTTTTTAGTGCTGAATGGTATTCCACGGCAGGGGCATGCCACAGTTTATCCAGGCACCAGTCGACAGAATTTGGGTAGCTAGTTTTTGGCAATTACAAATAAATCCTCTATAAATATTCATGTACAGGTTTCTGTCTGAATGTAAGTTTTCATTTGTCTTGGCAAATACCTATGAATGGAGTTTCTGGGTTGTATGATGTTTGTTTAATTTTATGCGAAACTGCTGAACTGTTTTCCAAAGTGGCTGCACCGTCTTGCATTCCCAGTAGCCATGGATGAGAGCTACAGCTGCTCCTCACCAGCACTTGGTTTGTCAGTTTTTTGTCTTTTTGCTTTTAATCTTGCCATTCTGAGAGGTGTGTCGTGGTGCCCTACTGTGGTTTAATTTGCACTTCCTTCATGTCTAATGATGTGGAGCATCTTTTCACGAGCTTATCTGCCGTCCACATGTCTTCTCCGGTGAAGTGCCTATTCCAGTCTTTTCCCCATTTTTAAACTGGGTTACTTGTTTTCTAATCGAGGTTTGAAAGTTCTTCATATATTTTGGATATGTTCTTTATCAGATACGTGATTTGCTAATATTTCCTGGCAGTCTGTGACTTATCTTTTCACTCTCTTAACAGTATCTTTAGAAGAGCAGTTATTTTTAGTTTTGATGAAATTCAGTTTATAATTTTTTATTTTTGCTGAGGAAGATTAGCCCTGAGCTAACACCTGTGCCAATCTTCCTCCACTTTATATGTGGGTCGTCACCACAGCATGGCTGATGAGTGGTGTAGGTCCGTGCCCAGGATCCAAACCCACGAACCCAGGCTGCTGAAGCGCAGTGCACTGAACTTAACCATTACACCATGGGGCAGGCCCCTATAATTTTTTTAAAAAATGGATCATGCTTTTGATGTCGCATCTAAGAAATCTTTGCCTAACCCAAGGTTACACAGGTTTTCTCCTATGTTTTCTTTTTTTTTTTTTAAAGATTTTATTTATTCAGTTTTTTCCCCCCAAAGCCCCAGTAGACAGTTGTATGCCATAGGTTCACATCCTTCTAGTTGCTGTACGTGGGACCCGGCCTCGTGTTGGAGGGAGAAGTGGTGCCTCAGGGCGCTCCCGGGATCCGAACCCGGGTCGCCAGCATCAGAGCGCACGCACTTAACCGCCAAGCCACAGAGCCGGCCCTCTCCTATGTTTTCTTCTAGAAGTTTTATAGTTTTAGATTTTACATTTAGGTCTACGACTTGTTTTGAATAATTTTTGTTTACAGGGTGAGGAATGGGCAGAGGTTAATTTTGCAGCATATGTTTATCTAATTGTTAAGGGCTCCTTTGCTGGAGACTGTTCTTTCTCCAGGAACCTCTATTGGAAATCAACTGGCCACACTCGTGTGGTCTAGTTTGGACTTGGTTGTGTTCCACTGATCTCCGTGCCCCCCTTTGCCAACACCACACTGTCCTGTTAGTGCAGCTCAGGGGTGAGGCTGACGCCAGGGAGTCTGAGTCCTCCAGCTTTGCTCTTCTCTTTCAAAACTGTTTTGGCTATTTTAGATCTTTTGAATTTCCATATAAATTTTAGAACCAGCTTCTCAATTTCCATGAAAAATCCTGCTAGGATTTGGACTGGAACTGCATTCCTCGATAGTCAGTTACGGGAGAGCTAACGTCTTAACAATATCGAGCCTCCAGTCCAGGATCTCCACGGTCTCCCCCTTATTTATTTATTTTTTGTGAGGAAGATCGGCTCTGAGCTAAGATCTGATGCCAATCCTCCTCTTTTTTTGCTGAGGAAGACTGGCGCTGAGCTAACATCCGTGCCCATCTTCCTCCACTCTATATGGGACGCCGCCACAGCATGGTTGGACAAGCCGTGCGTTGGTGTGCGGCCGGGATCCGAACCCGCGAACCCCGGGCCGCCACAGCGGAGCGTGCGCACTTAACTGCTTGCGCCACTGGGCCGGCCCCTCTCCCCTTTTTTTGAGGCTTTGACTTCTTTCATCAGTTTTGTAGTTTTCAGCACATAGACCCTGCACATTTTCTCTTAGCTTTGTAACTCGGTAGTTCATGTTTTTGGTGTTATCATAAACGGTACTTATAAAAATTCAATTTCCAATTGTTAATTTCTACTATCTAGAAATATGCTTCTTTTTTGCATATTGTATCCTGTGACTGTGCTAAACTCACTTATTAGTTTTGTAGCCTCTTTGGGATTTTCTATAAGGATAATAATATTGGTCTGTAAATAAAGATAATTTTATTGCTTTCTTCTCAAACTTTGTCTTTTATTTCCTTTTCTTGCCTTATCGCTCTGAATAGGAGTGAGTGAGTGGACATCTTCGCTGTATTTCCAATATTTTAGGGGAAAGCATTCAATCTTTCATCACTAAGTATGATGTCAGCTGTAGGTTTGTTTTTTTAAGATGCCCATTATCAGGTTGAGGAAATTCTCTCCTATTCCTATTTTGCTGAGAGTTTTGATCACGAATGGATATTGAATTTTGTCAAATGCTTTTTCTGCATGAGTTGAGACAATTAGATGTTTTTCCCTCTTTGGCCTGTCAATATGGTGAATCATGTTGGGTGTTTTTTGAATGTTGCACAGCCTTGTATCCGAGGACGGATGCCACTTGCTTACGATGTATTTTCCTTTCCACGTACTGCGGGATCCGTTGGCTGGTTTCTTTCTTTCTTTTTTTTTTTTAATATTTATTTATTTATTTAGCATGTGTGTGTGTGTGTGCGTGCGCGGAAGATCAGCCCTGAGCTAACATCCATGCCAATCCTCCTCTTTTTGCTGAGAGAAGACTGGCCCTGAGCTAACATCCGTGCCAATCTTCCTCCATTTTATATCGCTGGCTGGTTTCTTGATGAAGATGCCAAGTGACTTTTGACTGTGAGCTCGTGTTTCTTGGCACTTTATCTGTGAATTCCTTGAGTTCTGAGCTGAAGCTGCACTTTTCCAGAGGGGAGTTGCCTTTGTGTGACTGGGCACCCGAAGCTTTCCCCACCTGCGACGACCTTCTCCTGAAGCCTCTGCTGGAGATGGTTTATACGGTGCAGGGGCATGAGTTCAGGCTGCAGACCCACATGAGGCCTGGCGATGGTTTTAATCACCAAGGGAGAGTCCCCCCACTTACCTCGGAGCCAAGGGTGCGGGGACCTGGTCTGCTGCTTCCTTGCTGTCCTGCTCAGTGGCAGTTTATTCTTCTACTAGCATTCTTCACTGCTGCACTCACCAAGTGTGCAGCCCTCTAGGACCCTGCACACGCAGGGGTCTCCTGTCAGACGCACCCTGGGTGGACCCCTTCGTTTAACTCACTCAGAACACAACCCCTGCTGTGGCCACGGGCCAGTGCTGAGTCAGCAGGTCTCGGGAGCCCACACTGGGAGTTGGACTTCCGCCTGGGCTGAAGTGAGGACCCCCACAACCTCCAGTGGGGACTGTGTCCCAAACTCCACTCAGAAGATGGCCCCTGCTGACACGTGGTGGTGGGGGTCACCTTTTCAAGTGCTACTGGGGGCGGGGCGAGTCCTGTGGTCAAGGCCACCTGACCTCCCGACTCAGCACAGGAGGCAGAGGAGGCGCGGGAGCCGAACCTGCTCATTCTCTCTCCACGCCAAACAAAACCACAGTTTGCTTACCAGAGTCTCTCTTCTCTTCACTGCTTTGTTATGATTACAAAAATTGTCTTCTTTTTTTTGAAAGATAGTTTCCTGTAGTATTACAAATATAGCGAGGCAGGGGCTCCATCTGCCCCTGCACCCTGTGCTCACACCAGATGTTTGTGACGATCGGTGGTCCCCAGGGTGAGATGGCCCCACCTCTGGCAAGGTGCCAGCAGGGGCTGTGGAAGGATGCAGCTCCCTGTTTTAGGGCCACTTCAAAGACCAGGAGACTGTCTAATTGGTAAAGAGGAAAAGAAGCAGAGAGGCTAAAAGTCCAGAAAATAAGATTAAAAAAAGAAGAAGAAAAAAAAGCAGACCAATATAAAGCACAAAATATGATGGTGGAAACAAATCCAAATATATCAAGAATCACAATAAATGTAAATAGATTAAACACTCTGGAAAAAGTCTAAGACCATCAGACTGGATAAACAGACCAAAAATGTATAAGACCTCTGTATTGTAAACTACAAGACATTGCTGAAAAAAATTAAATAGGACCTAACTACACGGAGACATGTACCATGTTTATGGATTGAAAGATCTGATATTGTTAAGATGCCCATTTCCCCTAAACTGACCTACGGATTCAACTGATCTATAGATTCACTGTGCCAATCATACCCACACTAGGCTTTTTTTCAGAAATCAAGAAGCTGTTTCTAAAATTTATATGGAAATGCAAAGTACCTAAAATAATCAATGGAAATATATTGAAAAAAAGAGAACAAAGTTGGGTGACTTACACCACCTGGCTTCAAGGCTTACTCTAAAGCTTCAATAATCAAGACAGTGTGGTACTCGATAGGTAAATGGATCAACTGACCAGAAAAGAGAGTCTAGAAACATTTGTGACAAAGATAACAAGTCTATTTTTGACAAAGATAGCAAATTGATCCAATGGGGAAAGGAAAGACTTTCCAACACAAGTTGCAGGAACAACTGGATGTCCACGTGGCGAAAATAAAGAGCCCAGACCCCTACCTCACATCATACACAAAAATGAATTCCAGACAGATTATAGACCTAAACATAAGAGCCCTGTTTTATGTCTTTATGACCATGGGATAGGAAAAAATTTGCTAAAAAGGCATAAAAAACAAACTTCAAAAGAAATGATGGATGAATTTGCAAACATTAAAATTAAGAACTTTGATTTAAGAAATGAGATCATAAAGGGAGTAAAAGGATGTGGTGGCAATATTTGCAGCATTCCTAACTGACCAAGAGGCAAGTATCTACGGATGGAAAGAACTTCTGTGAATAAATAAGGAAAAGACAGACAACTCCACTGAAAAGTGGGGGGAAAGCTTTAACAGATATTTCATACAGAAGAAAATCCAAATAGTAGACAGGCTTATGAACAGACAGACGATCTTGCTGGTGATGTGGGAGATACAAACTGAAACCTCAACAACACGCCTTCACAGACCTCCAGACTGACAGCACCGAGTGCTGCCCAGCGGGACTTTCTGGAGGACGGAAGGCTGGCAGCCACCAGCCCCAGGTGGCTATTCAGCACTTGAAATGTGCTTGTGTGAAGGTGGAGAGGAATTTTTACTCTTTTTCAATTTTGATTAATTTAAGTGTAAATAGCCAGGTGTGGCTAGTGGCAGCCGTGTTGGGTAGCACGGTCTTAGGTGCTGCTGGTGGGGTGTGAATCAGCACAACCACATTGAAAAAGAACTTGCTTAGCTAATGAAGGTGAAGTTGTGTGTACCCTGTGAGGCAGCATGCACACACCCAGGTATGCCCCAGAGAAACGCACACATGGAGACGTGGCCCTGTGTGTGACAGCACACACCTTGAAATGCCCCCAGTGTGAACCAGTGGGGGAGCGGGTCTGTGACTCAAGGCGCGTTCACGAAAGGAGACGCCATAAAGTGGTGGCAACAGGAAGAAGAGCCCACGTATCAGTGTGGAGGAACCTCAAAGCTTGACGCTGAGCAAGAGAAAAACTCACCAAGGACTGCGCTTGCCACGGCTCCATTTATAGCAAGGAAGAGATCCAGCCATTTCTAGATGTGTGTACACGGATGGAAAAACCATAAGGGGAGGCAGGGGAAATAAAAACAACTCCAGACAGCCGTCACTGTGCAAAAGAGGCAGTCGAGGCGAGGCTGGCCTCCAGGTATTCTCTTCCTTCTCAAGCTCAGTGATGGGGTCGAGGTGCCAATGTCATGACTCCTCTTTAAACTGTCCCCATGCGTTATCTGCACTTCTGTGCAGAGTTCAGTGCGGCCCCAGACAGTGTGGCTCCAGTGACCCCATTAGCAGAGCCTCCTGGCTCTCCTCCCCCCACAACCCCAATCCAGTCTGCAGCTGCATCCCTGGAGCAGGGCTCCTCAAATGTCCCAACAAGGACCCCCAAGGGTAGTGAGGAAGGCAACTCCCCCTGTGGCCAGCCTGGTGGTCGAAAGCCAGGATATCCTCTAAGCCTTCCGTTGGCTTAAATATAAATGCAAATTTCAATCCACTCCATAACCAGTATTTTTTTGAATACATGAATATTTTCTTATTTATTATCACTTAAAATCGGAGCCCTGGAGAGATTCTGCACCGTACAGCCCTCTGGCACCATGCTGGCATATCAGAGCTTTGCTGGAGGCCAGCAGGTGCTCGGGGTGCCTCCTGGAATGCTGCCCACTCTGGGGCCCTCCAACCCGCCCCACTTGCCCCCTTTTTGCCTGTCAAACAACTGGGACTCAGGGGTCCTGCATCTGAGGTCCCCAGAGCTGCATGCCAAGCATGGGCCCACAGGTGCCCAGCTCACCTGCAGGGCGCCCCTCCTCCTGCTCCTTGCTGTCCAGATTGCCAGACTCCTTTTGGCTTGGCTCGTCAATGGGAGACGACTCATTGCCCTCGATCTGCTGCTCAGAAAAACTGGTGATGATTTTTTCATTAAAGCCTTTATCTTCGGATGTAAAGAGACTGCTCTAAAGAAGAGAACATGACCTTTACTGGAAATTTCCATTTGCCTTTCCCACTCGACTGCCCAGACCCCCGTCACTGTGAGGACCATGTGGAGAGCCTGGCCATGACCTAGGCTGGGGGCTGCTGGCTCCTGCACATCCCCCTGGATGGCTCTCGTCCTGCCCTGTGCTGGGCCTCCAGACCACAGCAGCTCTTATCCAGTGGCTCCGGGCTGAGCCCTCCGCCTTGCTTGCTCTAGCCCAGGCTAGCTCTTCCTTGGCCACTGCAGGCACTGACCCCCCATCTTGGAGCCCACTGTGTGCTGGGCTCTGGCATGTGGCCAAGTGCACAGTCTCCCTCCCGCACTGGCCCTCTACATTCCTCTCTGCCTGAGCTCCCAGGACGCTGGGTTCCTCTCCCCAGGTGGGGTTGTCCAGGCTTCAGCTCCGTGCTCTCCTGGCTTTAGCCCAGATCCCTGCTGGCCTGAGAACTGGTCCAGCCCCACCTCTGCTCATCACCCAGAGGTCACTGACACCCAGTCCTCGCTCCTGTGCTCACAGCAGAATGACTGAGTGCCTGTCACGTGTGACTCAGGGGCCACAAGGTGGAGGGACAGACTGGGCACTGCTTGGGCGGAGCTGCTGTCCAGCAGGACAGACGCCCCCCAGGACAAGACAGGGCTGGCACCCGTGGAGTACCCTGAGGGGCCTGTGCACCCATCCCCCGAGCCACGCAGGGAGCCCGCCCCCAGACCACCTCCTCACCCACTATCCCCTTGGCCGTCCTCCTAGGTTCACACTCTGGCCCCTCCTACCTCTGCTACAGCTGCTGGTCCACATTGCTGCCCAGGGGACCCCCGCCCCATCGGTCCCCTCCCTCCCTGGGGGAGACTCTTCCAGGGCCTTTGCTGAGACCCCTTAATGCAGTGGACAGAACTGCAAAATTGGAGCTCAGTGCTTCTTGTAGGAAAGCTTCAACTAATTTAGATGTGTATTTAAAAAGGGCAAAGTTTCTCTCCAGCTGAAGCCTGGACAGGAGTTGTCTCCATGGATGGGGTGACGCTCTGAGGCTGTTTCCGTTCACTTAGCGGCACATTGCACAGCCTTCCCATGAAAGGACCAAGGCCCACCTTGCACCTTTGGAGAAGGTGCAGCCGCGGGGCAGCGCTTGCCTTGGCGTTCAGCCTGAGTCATCTGGGTTGGGCTGGCGCCCCCTGCTGGGACTTTGGAGGCGCACCAGGAGAAGGGACGGCCCCCTGGGGGTCTCAGGCCTGGAGCTCTCGGCCACCGCCCCGTCACCACACGCTGGAGAGGGGGCAGCGTCCTGCTGCCACTGTGCCTGTGGCCAGGTGGCCCCAGGTGTACTCCTTACAGAGACTGATCTCTTCTACTTAGACTGACGAGCATGTCCTGCTACTCCTTCTCCTCCAGCCCCATGTCAACAGATTCCTTTGTGTCATCACCCACTTTACACTCACGGGACTGTCTTAGGGGTGGGAGGCACCACGCCCTGCCCTTGGCTGAGTACCCACAGCTGTTGATGGGAAGCAAGCAGCACACTCACTATTTTCAGGACTGACGGGGAGATGTCCATCTCATAGGACTCTGATGCCGGAAGAAACTTGAATCTGGTGCCCAAGCCCCCGACGTTGGTCAGCGTGATGATCCGGGATGCGGTCTCACCTACCACATAGCTGCCAAAGTCAATGAGCTCCTTGTCAAGGGACAGCTGCCAAAAGACCCCAAGTGAGCGAGGGAGGCTGCACCAGGCCTGCAGCAAGGTCTCCTCTCCCAACTGTCACCCTGCAGCCGTGAGGGGGCACAAGGAGCTCTGGCCCCTTCCTCCTGCTCAGGGGCAAGGCCTGCATCTGGCTCCAGGCGGGAGAGGTGGAGTCTCCGTACACCCCAGGGACACGATCCACATCCTAGAAATCATAGATTTGTGTATTGACCATGACAGTCTGCGAGCACCTGAGTCCCATTTTTTAAAAGTCAAGCCAGTTAAAAAGAAATGAACCATCAAGCCATGAAAAGACACAGCGGAGCCTCAAACGTGTTTACCGAGTGAAAGAAGCCAATCTGCAAAGGCTCCACACTGTGTGATTCCAACTGTATTCTGGAAAAGGCAAAACTAAGGAGATAATAATAAGATCAGTGGTTATATATTAATAGAAGTTTCAATGCAGCAAGAAGATATAACCATTATAAACATTTATGTACCTAATGACAGACCATCAAAATATATGAAGTAAAAGCGGACAGAATTGAAGTGAGAAACAGACAGTTTACAATAACCGTTGGAGACTTCAATACCCTACTCACAATAATGGACAGAACAACCAGACAGAACATAAGTAAGGAAATCGAAGACTTCAACAACAAAATAAACTAACCAGATCAAACAGAACACTCCACCCAACAGCAGCATACACATTCTTCTCAAGTACACATGGGACATTTTCCAGACCATATGTTAGGCCACAAATTAAGTCCCAATAGATTTAAAAAGATATACATCATATAAAGTCTTCTCTGATCACAATAGGGTAAAGTTAGAAATCAATAACACAAAGAAAACTGAAAAATTCACAAAATTATGGAAATTAAACAACACACTTTTAAACAACCAATGAATCAAAGAAGAAATCACAAGGGAAATTAGAAAATAATTAGAGACAAATGAAAATAAAAGCACAACACACCAAAACTTATAGGATGCAGAGAAAGCAGTGCCGAAGAGGAAGTTTATAGCTAGAAATGCTGACATTAAAAAACAAGAAAGATCTCAAATCAACAACCTACTTTTACAAGTTAAGGAACTAGAAAAAGAACAAACTAAACCCAAAGGTAGCAGAAGGAAAGAAATACTAAACATTAGAGCAGAGATAAACAAAATAGAGCACAGAGAAACAATAAAGAAAAATCAATGAAACCAAAAGTTGGTTCTTTGACAAGATCAACAAAATTGACAGACATTTAGCTAGATGGACTCAGTGAAAAGAGAGAAGACTCAGATTACTAAAATCAGAAATGAAAGTGGGGACATTACTACCAATCCTACAGAAATAAGGACAGTGAGAGAGTACTATGAACAACTGGAAAACCTAGATGAAATGGGCAAATTCCTAGAAACACAAAACCTACCAAAACTAAATCAAAAAGAAATAGACAATCTGAATAGACCTATAACTAGTAAGGACATTGAATCAGTGATCAAAAACCTCTCAACTAAAAAAAGCCCTGGACCTGATGGCTTCATTGAAGTCCACCAAACATTTGAAGAGCTAATACCAATCCTTCCTAAAATTTGAGGCAGAGGGAACACTTCCCAACTCATTTTGTGAGGCCAGCATAACTCTGATAACAAAGCGAGACAAAGACACCACAAGAGAAGAAAACTGCAGACCAACATCCCTTAAGAAAATTGATACAAAATTCCTTAAAAAATACTAGCAAACCAAATTAAGCAGCATATTAAAAGGATTATACAATATGACCAAGAGAGATTCCTTCCTGGAATGCAAGGATGGTTGAACACATAAAAATCAATCAATGTAATATGTCACATCAACAAAATGAAGAAAAACCCCCACATAATCATCTCAATTGATGCAGAAAAAAGCATCTGACAAAATTCAACACACTTTCATGATAAAACACTCAAGAAAATGCGAACTGAAGGAAACTACCTCCACATAATAAAAGCCATATATGAAAAACCCACAGCAAACATCACACTCAATGGTGAAAGACTGAAAGCTTTTCCTCTAAGATCAGGAACAAGACAAGGATGGCCACTGTCACTACTTCTATTCAACCTAGAGCTGGAAGTCCTAGCCAGAGCAATTAGGCAAGAAAAAGAAATAAAAGGCATCTAAATGGGAAAGGAAGAAGTAAAATTATCTCTGTTTGCAGATGACATGATCTTACATGTAGAAAATCCAAAAGACTCCACAAAAAAGCTATTAGATCTAGTAAAAAAATTCAGTGAAGTAGCAAGATACAAAGTCAACACACAAAAATCAGTTGCATTTTCATACATGAACAATGAACAATCTGAAAAGGAAATTATAAAAACAATCCCATTTACAATAGCATAAAAAGAATTCCCCGTGGCTTAGCGGTTAAGTGTGCGTGCTCCGCTACTGGCGGCCTGGGTTCGTATCCTGGGCGTGCACTGACGTACTGCTTCTCCGGCCATGCTGAGGCCGCGTCCCACGTACAGCAACTAGAAGGATGTGCAACGATGACATACAACTATCTACTGGGGCTTTGGGGAAAAAAAAAGGAGGAGGGCTGGCAATAGATGTTAGCTCAGAGCCGGTCTTCCTCAGCAAAAAGAGGAGGATTAGCATGGTTGTTAGCTCAGGGCTGATCTTCCTCACAACAACAACAACAAAAAGAATAAAATTCTGGGGCCGGCCTGGTGGCATAGTAGTTAAGTTCATGCGTTCCGCTTCAGTGGCCCGGGGTTCTTGGGTTTGGATCCCAGGCGCAGACCTATGCACTGCACATTAAGCCATGCTGTGGCAGCATCCCATATATAAAATAGAGGAAGATGGGCTCATATGTTAGCTCAGGGCTAATCTTTCTCACATACACACAAAAAGAATAAAATTCTTAGGAATTAACTTAACCAAGGAGTCGAAAGACCTGTATGATGAAAACTACAAAAGATTGCTGAAAGAAATTAAAGAAGACACAAATAAATGAAACACATCCCAAGCTCATGGGTTGGAAGATTTACTATTGTTAAAGTGTCAATATTACCCAAAGTGATCTAGAGATTCAATGCAATCCCTATCAAAATTCCAATGACTTTTTTTAGAGAAATAGAAAAACCCATCCTAAAATTCATATGGAATCTCAAAGGACCCAGAATAGCCAAAACAATCTTGAAAAAGAAGAACAAAACTAGAAAACTCATACTTACTGATTTCAAAACTTACCACAAAGCTACAGTTACCAAAACAGTATGGTTTGGGCATAAAGACAGACATGCAGACCAATGGAATAGAATAGAGATCCCAGAAATAAACCCTCATATATATGGTCAAATGATTTTTGGCAAGGGTGCCAAGACCATTCAATGGGGAAAGGTCAACAAATGGTGCTGGGAAAACTGGATATCCACATGCAACAGAATGAAATCGACCCTCATCTAACACCATATACAAAAATTAACTCAAAATGGATCAAAGACCTAAAATAATAAAACTCTTAGAAGAAACATAGGACAAAAGCTTCACAACATTGGATTTGGCAATGATTTCTTGGCTAGGACACCAAAAGCACTGGCAAAAAAACATAAAACAGACAAGTTGGACTTTATGAAAATTAAAAAAGTTTGTACATCAAAAGACACTATCTATAGAGTAAAAAAGCAACCCACAAAATGGGAGAAAATATTTGCAAATCATATATCTGATAAGGGATTAATATCCAGAATTTGTAAAGAACTCCTAAAACTCAATAACAAAAAACAAACAACTGGACTCAGACATGTGCAAAGGACTTGAACAGACATTTCTCCAAAGAAGACATACACATGGCCAATAGGCCCATGAAAAGATGCTCATATCATAATCATTAGGGAAATGAACGTCAAAACCACAATGAGGTACAATCTCACATCCACTAGGATGGCTGCTCTCAACAGGACAGAAAACAAGCATTGGGGAGGAGGTGAGAAATGGGAACCCTGTGCACCGTTGGTGGGAACATAAAATGGTGCAGCTGCCGTGGAAGACAGTATGGCTGTTGCTCAGAAAAATTAAAAATAGAACTACAATATGATCTAGCAATTCCACTTCTGTGTATATACCCAAAAGAATCAAAAGCAGGTTCTCGGAGAGATATTTGTACACCCATGTTCATAGCAGCACTCTACACAATAGCTAAAACATGGAAGCAACCCAAGTGTCCAATGAGGGATGAATGATGAACAAAATGTAGTATAAACACAAAATGGAATATTACTGAGACTCAAAAAGGCAGGAAATTCTGACACACACTACAGTATGGATGAATCTTGAGCACATTATGCTGAGTGAAACAAGCCAGTCACAAAAGGACAAATACTGTCTGATTCCACTTACATGAGGCACTTAGTCAAATTCATAGAGACAAAAACTAGGATGCTGATTGCCAGGGAGTGGGGGGAGGGGAGATTGGAGAGTTAGTGTTTAATAGGTACAGATTTTCAGTTTTACAAGATGAAAAGAGTTATGGCGATGGATGGCAGTGATCAATTTTATGTTAATGTGTATTTTGCCACAATAAAAAAAAAGAAAAAAAAAGATCAGTGGTGGCCAGGGGTGGGAGGACGGAGGGGGAAGAGGTGGAGCCAAGAGGATTTTTAGGGCAGGGAAACTACTCTGTATGACACCATAATGATGGCTACGTGTCATCATATATTTGTCTAAACCCACAGAATGAGGGGCTGGCCCAGTGGCGTAGCGGTTAAATGCGCGCGCTCCACTTCGGCGGCCTGGGGTTCACAGGTTCGGATCCCAGGCATGCACCGATGCACCGCTTGTCACGCCATGCTGTGGCGGCGTCCCATATAAAGTACAGGAAGATGAGCACGGATGTTAGCCCAGGGCCAATCTTTCTCAGCAAAAAAAAAAGAGGAGGATTGGCATCAGACGTTAGCTCAGGGCTGATCTTCCTCACACAAAAAATAAATAAATAAACCCACAGAATGTATGACATAAGAGTGAACCGAAA